AACTTACCTATAGTAGAAAAATCCATCAGAGAAATTTAAAATAAATATGTGCTATTATAAACACAAGCCTCAGATGAAGCCTGCTTTTAATTCTTACACGGAAACTATGAATAAACTTCAGGTCTACACAATAACAAGCAGAAAGGTTTTGCAGCCAAAATATTTAAGCTTATTCAAATACCTGTTTAAGTTTAAGCTATCGATCGATCGATCGATCATTCCTAAAATATTCCCTGCTGGAACCGCCGGTGCTTCAGTGAAGTTGTATAAAACCTCTTGATTCATCTCCAAATTGTCGATGTACAACAGTGATGTAAATTCGTGACAGAAGCATTTCTCAAACCGAGGAACGAAGGAATTGCAGAATTTATCCGTTTTGTTGGCATCGGAACTCCTAAAAGGTCTATCTTTAAATGTATAAGACAAGAGAAATAGAGATACCGTCCTGAAAATCGGAAACAGTCCGCCATTTTTTTCGCTGTGCGATCGGGCTACTACCCCCGACCCACCCGACCCCCAATAACTACCAAATATTGCGCCCGCAATGTTGTTTAGTGTTGTGATTTTTTTCAAGCATTATGCACTGGTCAGCGGAATTACCAAGAAAAGTTTACACCTATAAACGATAAACTAACAAAATTTTTCCAAACCATAAACGATAAAGCTCATCCTGAGCTAAAAAGGGTAAGATTGATATAATTTGTAATTATATGTATATATACATGTAATATCTAATTATTTGTAATTTTATTCCTATTATGCCTATCTCACTGATACCAATTGAACGAATTTTATAGATCTTAAGTTAACTCACAGGGAGACTACTTTGTAAAAGCCAGTGAGGGTTTTTTTAGTCTTCCTCCCAAAGCTATTTTATTTTAACACTTTCCAATATATATTAATTTTTGTATTTAAGAAATAAAACATTCATTCCAATCAATCAATCAATCAATCAATCAATCAATCAATCAATCAATTCAATCAATCATTCATGAAAGGTTTTTTGGTTTTACCCCCACTTTTTTGGTTCAAAGAATGTCTGCTTACAGTCCTGAGGTTTGACTGTACCATTTGTGGTTTTAATCCAATGTCATGATGATTATCATTGTTCATTCTAGAAAATCTGGCATTTGGCAAACAAGCAGATCAGATTAGGCCTGCGGCTTAAAAGTGACGGCACTGAAGGTGGCGCAAGTAGCAGAGCAGTGGATGGTAACAGCGCAACAGCCTTTGCTTCTGGGTCCTGTACACATACACAAAAAGAAAATAAAGCATGGTGGAGAGTGGACCTGGGACAAGTTGAGCCAGTGTCTGAAGTGTACATAGTGAACATAGATGGATATTATTCATTTAGATTGGATAGTTTTGAAATCAGAGTGGGTAGGTTAGACTTTCCAATACTTATACAGTATAACCTTTGTACTTACACCACAGACTGTTCAAAACCTGTATTACCATCTCTGTTTGCAAAGTGGTTGACCCTGTAGAAAGATTCACAACTGAATTTTAAAGGGTACGAGACCCATCTATTTCAGCTCAATCAGGGCTGGTAATCTGTAGGCCCCAGGGCTGCATAAGAAATAGAAAAAAAAACTATGTTAATAATTTATAATTATGTTACAAAAAAGCATATTAAGAAAACATGCATGGGCCTCTTCCAAATACTGTTCAAACTTGACGGAAAAGAAGAAGAAGAAAAGAAAAAAAAAGAAAAAAAGAAAAAAGAAATGTAAATTTATTTATGTATGTCAACAAGGACTTATTTCTAGTTCAGTTGCTGACAGCTTTGGGGGCGAGTGTGAGATATATTCCCATCGATTTCACATCATTTGCCTCAAGATTAAGCTGAAAACATTAATTTAAACAATTAACAATATGTTACATGTGTACGTCACAAGTGGAGATTGGGTGCCCAAGAATCCGCCCCAGGCTGAAAGCCACAAATCCCAGCAGGGGTACATGTAGACCACCCCAGTGGCCTTCCCTACCCACAACCCAGCAATGAGCTCCCCCCCCCCCCCCCCCTCCCACTCACACCATTACCCCCTAGGCATCTGTCACACTGACCAAGAGGTTCAGTGAAATGAAAAATCAATTAAAATGTCGATAGAGAGAGAGAGAGGATGGAAGGGGATGCTACAAAATTGGTACGATTTCAACCGCAGTTATGCTTGAGGGGACACGCTACCCGAGCACATGGAGATGGGCATGTGTAGAGTGTGCGGGATAACCACTGACACCACTCTGGGCATGAGCCCCAGATCCCTAGCTTCAAGCTGACTGCTTGCCGAACACCAGGGGAACGTTAACAGGACATGCCATGGGAACGCTAAAAGGACGTGGTCAGGAACGCTAAAAGGACTCGCTGGAACGTAATACAAACCAACACCAATGCCAAACTTGCTCCTCATAGTTAGCTAAGTTAAATTCAGGGTTTTGGTAAAGGTTTTGAATAGCAGAGGACCAAATTGTTAATAGCAGGGACCCCAAATGGCGTAGTGCCAAGTCGGGGTAGGTGTGGGAGGGGGTCTGGGGGGTCTCCCCAGGAAATTTCTGAAAATTCGAGATAAAAACGGGTGCATTTGAGGCCACTTTGATCAACTTGACTCCTTGTTTTAGCTGTTAAAAAGAGGCATTGCTTACTCGGAAAAAATGTAATTTAATATTCTGTATTGCATGTTTTTTTAATGGGTGCTATAAACATTGTTCTGAATATTGTTCTGTCTCCTTGAGTTAATAAATTACAATTTATGGATGCTTTAATCATTTCTTTATTTTCAACTGAACTGAAAGTACAAGCCAAACAAGTAAAAAAACAGAAAATATGAAAAGGAAAGGGACTGCCAGCAAAGCAACATCACACTAATCACGCAACACAATCAACTTTTAAATCTTGTATTGTTTTGTGAAGTGCGACAAATTAATTACATTTTAAAAAGTACAAAGAAAAACAGCTTACCTTCGAGGTAAAGTACTGGTCGATTTTCCGCTTCATTTGCTACTGTCTAAAGACCACCAATGAAGATTGTATATCGCCTAGCATTGTCACGAAGATGAATGTAGACAATGTAGCGTGTTCCAATTTGATATTTTCTTTCGAGAGATCGACTGAACTGCAGCGACCCGAACAAACTGTATTTATTGCAGTTGTCTGTCGCAATACCGGGAAAAGGGCATGGACGGAAATACGCCAATTAAAATGGGGAAGTTTCGGGAATTTTCCCGGAATTTGCAACACTGTTTATTTTAAAACGTACATATTTACTGGCGAACGATAGTTATTTGATACTTTAATGACGAGTTCGGGCGCTCCGATGACTGTTTATATAACGCTAAATTTGCCACAGTCACAAACTCCAAATCAGCAACACGTCCACAAAATGTGTTACGGGCAAATAAATGCTCAATTGCCTCAATAGCACCGAAATAAATTATCATTCGGTTTTAATAGGCAGGAATGAAGTACAAATACTCCTTCAACTGTGACCGTTCTTTATTGAAAAATCGTAGCACAGCTTTGTGTGAAATAGCCGGGACAAAATTGAAATAGCCGAGTAAAGGTCCCGCCGTCCCGGCTCTAACAAAAACCCTGAAATTGCATTTTAACCTCATCATGCATGATTAGAAAATCGAGACTTGCTCTCTGACCAATGGCCTAATATTCAATAAAAGGCAACACACCAAAGATGTTATTGTACATGTAAGTTGTGATTCTTTATTTACTGTCTTTATAATGATACATTTCTTCTAGGCACCATAACCAGTGGCGGGGGTGTGACTAATCCTAAGTGTGGTGGTAATTACAGTGTTCCAGAAGGAAAAGGCTTATCCTTCTTCTGTCGTCCCACTATGTATGGAAGATATGTGACAATCAGAAGTTTACTAAACCGTCAACCACTCGCGATTGTGAAGTTGAAGTGTATTCTGAAAGAAGAGGTACTATGATAATTAAATTACACAATAAAAACCTTACCATTTTGTTGATTAATGGGGAAAAAATGGGTGATTACGACTGCAGGACGTTATCTTCTCTCATATGATCATACATGTCAGGGCACAAAATTAACTTTTTTTTCCAGGAGCCATTTGGCTCCTAAATATTCCAAAGTGGTCGCCAACTACAAAAAGTTAGTTGCCATTTTTTCCAACAAATTTTTTTTAAATTTATTCTTTTAATTGGGGTGGAAACCTAATTATGAAACACAAAATAATGGGTTAACATAATAAATCTTAGGGTTTTAAGCTTAAGGACTAATTGGACTAGTGTTTCAGATTTTGGTTGCCCAAAAGAAAAAACATTTAACTCATTAATATTAATTAATTAATTAACCAATCAATAAACAATAATAACTATTTTTAATACAGGAACGCAGTCTTGGTGTCCGATAGCCACCCATGTTATTATTTATAATTTACATACATCCAGGAGCCCATTATATCCCCCTCCTGATACATCCCTATTACAGTCATTATACAACTTACATGTACAAAAGAAACACAACTTTCCAATGTGTTTTGGTTCAATTTACCTCCAAAGTTACAAACTAGTATGCAAGGTTGTCCCTAAGAAAAATGCCTGGCGGTTGTAGAAATTCAGCACCAGAGACACAATCCATCGCCATACATGACGTATTCAAACGGTTTCCTCGACTCGCAATGCATTATAGGGCGTTTTTGTGTACTCAGCTGAGAGAAACTTTGTTGACGTTTTCTTGTTATGAAAACAAAACAAGACCAGAGAAATATTGTTTTTTTAACTTTAATCTATTGTGTGACTTTTTTATGGCAAAGTTAGAACTGAAAACTTCAGGTAAGATGTCAGAATTCTAGTCGGCGTAGTCGCCAATTTGGCGACTAATTTTCAGGATTTGGTCACCAATGTGGAAAAACTTAGGCGCATTGGCGACTGTATCAGGCACAATTTCGTGCCCTGCATGTACAATGTAGCTTGCTTTGGGTTGAGTCGTTTACTCTGTGATCTATAAATGTTATCAGTGGGAAGCATGGTGACCTAATGGTTAGCATGTTGGACTCCAGATCGAGCGGTCCAGGTTTGAGCCCTGGCTGGGATCATTGTGTTGTGTTGTTGGGCAAGATACTTTACTCTCATAGTGCCTCTCTCCACCCAGGAGTAAATGGTTTATACCGGCTCGAATTGTCAGGGCATGACAAGAATGCCAAGGGTTATCTACAATGGACTAGCATCCCATCCAGGAGAGTAGCAATATAATACTCCTAGTTGCTTCATGCTATGGAAACCAGAGTTAAGCGCTGGCCTGCGCTAGGCTTGTAGTCAGACGTTAACCTACAGTTTCAAACTCTTGATTTTTATTTTTAGCATGTCAAATCCAGGCCCTTGGTGTGGCCAGCAGTGATGCATTTCCAAACAAACACCTTCTCGGCTTCGTCAACAAGTGGTAGTAATGTAGCGTCTAAAGGTCGACTGAACACAGTTGGTGCGTGGTCACCCAAAGATGACAACAATGCTAATGACTATCTACAAATTGACCTGCAATATGAGTTTGTTATCTGTGCTGTGGCTACTCAAGGAAAGTCAACTGCAGATGAGTGGACAACAAAATACAAGCTGCAATTATCACTTAACAATATTGCCTGGGTTACTTATCAAGAAAACAGTGTTGATAAGGTTGTTTAGAAAAATTACATTTTGATAATATTGTCTATAATTTTTATGTCATGTGGTGTATACTCCCTAGAGGTTTCTGTATAAATCAAGTGAGTTGATGTTACAGGGTGATTGGCCCCATGCCCAACCAAGGGCCAGGGGCTGTCCTCTATCAGGCCTCTCCCCCTTGACCAAACTGGCATATATAGGTGAACCTACCAGGGACTGAGGTCCCAGCCAGCATAGATCTTGACCACTTGTGACGCATTTATTTCTTGCAGATTTTCCAGGTTACCGACCCTGCAGTTGATATGCCATATATTATGAGAGTTCTGTTTTTAACTGTGATATTATTTTTGTACTACCGATAATATGTTATTGCAGATCTTCAATGCTAATTCTGGAAGAAATGACATAGTAAAACACAGTCTCGAGGAATTTGCAAGTGCCTCCAGGTTTATCCGCTTCTTGCCAACAAATTGCTCAACTCATAAAGCTCTGAGAGTGGAAGTGTTTGGAATACTTCTATCTGCAGGTATTAATTTTACATGGTCTCATTGTTGTTTTCAAATTTAATTGATGAATTAGTAAATATATTAATTAGATTTTGGCTCTGTTCTGCTTAGTTTTCGATGCAGTTTGAATGGGTGCAAAATGATTCAACTTAGAAAACCTCCTTAGTATTTTAGTGATCACAGTGATTAAGGAAGATGGTGAGAGACTCAGTTGATATATTTTCCTAGAAATCTTTAACTTGATGAATTATCAACGAGTTTAAGGAAAAAATAGCCTTAATTCATAAAAAATGTCCAGATGACATACTGCAATTATTTTTTCTTACCAGCACCTGGCGCTCCTGCGAGTGTCTCTAGTTTTAACATAGCCCCAAGCAAGTCTCATAGTCCAAGAATAAAATTAGCTAGTCTGATGCAGTTATTCAATTACATACATACATAAACTTTATTTAAACTCGAATTTAAGAGTAGCTTACAAGCTAGTATCTTTGAGAAAAGAAAAAAAACAAACAAACAAACAAACAAGCAAAAAGGCTACAAATAAAATAATTTCATTTCATTGCAGTTCTCAAACACACCTTGGCAGTTTTATCCTTTCCTTGCTGCGAAAGTTAATTTTATTGACCTATGTATACTCTAATGATTGCACTATACACTGTACTTCATTCCAGTTCCTACAAAAGCTCCTAGTAACTTCACTGTGACAGCACGCAATTCTACCAGTATTACAGCATCATGGCAGTTACCACCCATAAATGGCAGACATGGAATCATCGCTGGATATAAATTGTTCTTCAAAAAGAAAGACTCTGCAGGGTCATTTACCATGTTATCTATTAACGACGGAGCAATTCTCACAAAAGGATGTCACTGGACTAGAAAAGTACACAGAATATGAATTTCAAGTGTCGGCTTTCACTTCTGTTGGTGATGGACGAAAGAGTTCTGCAAAAGTTGAGAGAACAAAGGAAGATGGTAAGAGATGAGGAATAATGGTTTTATAATAGCAGACTCCATATATTGATTTCCATTGCTACATCTAGGGCCTCTGAGGGTAAAATCAGGTAAGTGAACTGTGATCGGCAAAATTAACATGTAGGTATAAAGTGCTTAAGAAGTTTTAAAATTTTAAATTATTTCATTGATGATTTGCAGCTCTTTCTGCTTCTTTACTGTGCAGATTGCAACCAAATCTACCTGCAGTATTGCAATGACATATTATTATACCTAACAGCTGTGTTGTGCAATGCATGTATGTTATAACCGCAGGACGGTGCTTTTAAAAATAGCAGCAGTTTCTTTGTAAAATTAACAGTTCTTGCTAATTATCCAGGCTTGTTTCATCCCAATGGATTTCTTGTTTTCAGTTTTGTGTCTAGTTGTCCCTGGGGCAACCACAGGACTTGGTTTGGTTGCCCCAATAATATTTTGGTTGCCCAGTCCCTTGACCCTGTACAAGCCAAGACACGTTATCACATGTAGCGTAAGCTGCCCAATAATTAACATACATTTTTGATTTATTTGTTGGATTTAAATTTAAATTTCAATAAACAATAAACTATAATCATTCAAATTACAAAGAATTATTCCAAATAGAAATAGTATACGTATAAGTGTAGGACAACTGCTCACTTCTCTCTGCTCTTGAAATGCATGAAATCATTTCTTTAAACTTGAATCAGAGACTGCGACTGCCGTACTGGGTGAACTATCCTATGTGATTGTCGGAGAGGTTCTCTGTTTCACATGCGTTTCCCCGATTAAAGTACCGTAAAAGGCTCATAATAACAAAAAAAATAAACAAATAAATCGCCCACGAGCAAACAAAATGGCCGCAACATGGTGAACGAATCGCACTGCAATGCATCGTGGATCTTATTTGGTGATACCGCTTACCACGGTTAAAAGTATTACAGGCTCGCATTGACTAAACATGGCGGAAGAAATCTTGAAAGAAGAATTCGGGAGAGAAAAGTTTAACAGCTACTATATTTATTTCTATGGATTTACTTTACTGTCTACTACCTTTTATGTTTTCTTTACTCTTCAGAGACAAACCTCTCGGATTTTACAGGGATTAGTGCCAGTGGGCTGGCAGATCGGGTCCCAAGGGGCAACCACTCGGTGAGATTTGGTTGCCCCAGCATACGTTTTGGTTGTCCGGGACAACCGGACAACCGTTATTTTCGAACCCTGCATTTTACTTATATAATTAAGACTTATATTGAATCAACAAATTACATGTAAATAATCATGCATGTTTCTTGAAGGGGAGGGGGGGGGGGGGGGATCAATAGGCCTTAATATGAATGATTACATCAGTTGTTCAAAATTCACCTCCATTAGCCTCGTTTACATGTAATTCCGGCACCTTCAAATGTACTGCTTTGGGAATTCGTTCATGATAAACTTACAAGTTTCCACTTCGAAAGCAAGACTTGGGGGTGACATTAGCTAGTCTGATTCAATATTGGTTATTCAATTGTTAATTTCATTGTAGTTCTCAAACAAGCCTTGGCAGTTTTATCCTTTCCTTGCTGCGAAAGTTAATTTTATTGACCTACATGTATATACTCTAATGATTTCACTATACACTGTACTTCATTCCAGTTCCTACAAAAGCTCCTGGTGCCTTCACTGTGACAGCACGAAATTCTACCAGTATTGTAACATCCTGGCAGTTACCACCAGAAAATGCCAGAAATGGAATCATCACAGGATATAAACTGTACTACAAAAAGAATGACTCTGCAGTTTCATTTACCATGTTACCTATTTACGACGGAGCAATTCTCACAAAAGATGTCACTGGACTAGAAAAGTACACAGAATATGAATTTCAAGTGTTGGCTTTCACTTCTGTTGGTGATGGACCGAACAGTTCTGTGAAAGCTGAGAGAACAAATGAAGACGGTAATATAATTTTGTTCAGATTTTTATTAATTCTTGAAACTAGAGTAACATATCACATGGTCTGAAAAGGGGCAACAAACAGACCAAGCTAAATGGGTCTGTATTGCTCAATTGCAGTTCCTTTACAAGCTCCAACCAGCTTCAGTGTTGCAGCACTCAGTTCTACCAGTATTAAGGCATCATGGCAGTTACCACCAGAAAACTCCAGAAATGGAATCATCAAAGGATATAAACTGTACTTCAAAAAGAAAGACTCTGTAGGGTCATTTACCATGTTACCTATTAACGACAGAGCAATTCTCACAAAAGATGTCACTGGACTAGAAAAGTACACAGAATATGAATTTAAAGTGTTGGCTTTTACTTCTGTTGGGGATGGACCGAACAGTATTGTAAAAGTTGAGATAACTAAGGAAGATGGTAAGAGACTCAGTTGATATATTTCCTAGAAATAATCCTTAGCTTGATGTTTTTTTTGAAAATCTTAAATATATAGTATATGGGACTCTCATAATAATTTTCTGAAATGAATATATATGATCATCGCAATAATTTTCCTATCTGTTTATTTTTTCTGGTAGTTCGCATAACATGCTAAACACGAGAGAAAGCGTTTCATCTGATTTCCAAACACTCAGAAGAGATTTGAAAGTGGCAATGTATGACACATACATTTTGTAGCGGAGTATTTTTTGACAAAATTCGAGGTTTTTGGAAGTCGGATGAAAACGTTATCTTGATATATCTTCTCAATTGAAACAAAAACTAACAAGTAAACAGACAAATAAAACCTATGCTAATTAAGAACAGATATCCAAACCTCTGTTATGGTTATGATTTCCTTTGCATTAACTTGATCATGAATTATCAACGAGTTTAAGGAAAAAATAGCCTTAATTCATAAAAAATGTCCAGATGACATACTGCAATTATTTTTTTCTTACCAGCACCTGGCGCTCCTGCGAGTGTCTCTAGTTTTGACATTGCCCCAAGCAAGTCTCATAGTCCAAGAATAAACCTGACCTGG